TTGCCACACGCCGGCCTAAGTGAAAAACCTAAAAAGCCAGGGGGACTTGTGCACAAGCGATCCTCAAACCTGCAAAGACCTCCAAATCTCTCGAAGCGAAGTTCAGGTCACAAGCTCACGAAAATGCCGAAACATTTGCCGCTGCATTAGACGCTTACTGCGGCGCGTGTGCGGAGCGGTCTCGTAAAGATCACAACGTTTCAAATTTGATTGCCAAACACATGTTTCAAGAATTCTATGGTCCGTCAACGTGTTTGGCGATTTTTTTTTTGGCTTGCAAGGGGGCGTTTGACAGAGTCAGCACGGTAACGCTCACTACATTACTATGTTCACTACATTACTAGCTATGTGTGAACACTTCACAGCTCACACATTTTTTTTAGTTGCACCGGGTTTTGGCAATCCCAAAACCAATTATTTCCTGGTGCCAGCGCAAGAGGGTGAATTAAGTACACTTGTCCGCCATCCTCCACAAAGTCAACATTTGCAGGATCTTCTTGATGCAATAGGGAAGACCGACGATCCCCCTGCCTGTATTTCGGATCGGGACGCTCAATCCTGACTTAGTTTGGCGGTTGTTCCGATGAGCCTATTGAAGGGCCACAGGCTGCAGTTGAAATATACTAAATATAACAGTGCTGCCAATTTTCAACCACCCGCCCATATGTTCATTGGGTGACTGCATCACAATTTGTTGCATCATGTACGAAAGACATCACTGGACAATTTCGAAGGCGATGTGACCACTTTCAAATGGAGGCGTGACGACACCAAACATATTGGTTTTTAACCCGATTTTCTTCTGAGATATTTGTCTCGATTTGATTTATCCAACCCTTCTCCATGTAGCATCAAGATTCTGGCATTGACAGTTGCTTTCAACAAAATGTGTCTCAAACACAATCCGTTGTGTTTGCAAGGACAATCATCAGTTTCAAAAGCAGATCAATGCAAACAGCAGAAACAGCAAACTACTGAAGGTAAACAACATGATGGGTGGATGTCATGCATGTGATGCTGATAGTGCAGTTACGTCAACGTAGCGCTTTATGCATCATTCTGATGCTCAAATTGCAGCAACAAGAAACTACTAGGGGCTCTTGGCATCGCTACTAGGAGCAAAGGACGCTAGGGGCTCCTGGCCTTACTACTAAGAGCAAGTACTAGTAACAAGGAACTACTAGGGTGGACCTCCTTGCAGCCGGCCCAGGAGCGGCCAGGGTAGTCGCGCAAGCAGCAAGGACACTGCCTTCTTGCTCCTAGTAGCGATGCCAGGAGCCCGTAGTACGGTCCTTGCTCACTGCAAAGACACAGGGCCCCCGAATTCCACATCTGAAATGTTGTTTGTCCTGTTGCCATCCCCAGTGAGATCAAACAAATGGTGCTTCACGCCGACTTTAACAATGCCAAGGCCAGCCTTTCAACCTTTTGATGAATGCAACCAAAAGCTGTTATGGTGCCCTGCACCATTTGTACAAGCGACAAGGACCTGAGACATGAGCGATTTGCTGAACCGGGACACATCCCATCAGCCAATCGCCACCGCAACCCAACCGAAGCCATGGATGAGACAAAGAACCAGGAGAAATGCATCCATGTTCAATGCACATTTGGACATCTCTCTATTTGCTGAGCAGGGTGGGTTGAGCAATATCAGAATTAAACGAATCGACCCAGAACGAACTAGCAAGTTGCACGAGATTGTTCTCCCTATACCTGTAAGAGGTGAACTGGATGCACATGAGTTGGGCAGAACAGGCGTTCATCTCAGGCCGTCTGATTTGATCTGATTAATAGTAGTCGAGTTGCCGACAACCACCCACCAGGTTGGAGGTCATCGCTAGTGGGTTGGAGGCCATTGCTACTAGGAACAAGAAGCTACTAGGGGCTCCTGGCCTTATTACTAGGAGCAAGGACGCTACTGGGGGCTCCTGGCCGTACTACCAGGAGCAAGGACGCTACTAGGGGCTCCTGGCATTGCTACTACGAAGGTTTCACACCACCTGTTGAGTGCCAGTGGGTGTTCCAGACCAACTGAACGACAAAGACGCCTCTCTGGTCAAACAACCAATTTTTGAGGTTCCTTCAAAAAATATTGGATTCTCTGTTCAGCATCAAACACTGGTGTACTCAGTAATATTTATGTTTAAGTTGTTTCCAGAACCGAGTGGCATCTTCATTTTGTACTGTTGAACGGATGGTCAAATCAAACAAGCGCGAATCAGGAATCCCCGTCTCCCGGCCAAAGAAACAGTTTCGCTGTGAAAGGCACCAAACATCAAAAGCAAGTTGACCCTCGTCGGGACTGCCAGCTCAGTGTCACTGGCTTCCGGCCAGCTCTTTGTGAAGAGTGCCGCCGGAAAAAGAGACGAACTGTTCCACCACTTCTGTCAACCTTACGCGTGCTACTAGGGGCTCCTGGCCTTACTACTAGGAGCAAAGACGCTGCTAGGGGCTCCTGGCATCGCTACTAGGAGCAAGGACGCACGCATTAACAAGGGAACACGCAAGTTCTTTAACTATCAAACAAACGCTTCAAACACAAACTTACCCATTGCAGCGGGGTCCATGGTCTAGGCAGGTTGGTGGAGCAGACCTGTGGGGTCCTAGGTTTAGGTCCATTCGCTTCTCCAGTTGCCCGTAGTGGGTGTGCAGGCCTCCAAACATATGTCGGTCATTGATTTTTTGCTTTGTGCCCCATGCTCCTTGGCGGTGACTGGCTTCTACTTACTGTATTTACCCTCTACTATTTGATCGAGTGCTGGTGGCAGAGGTTCTTCTACTGCAACGCTCCCGAATGTTCCACCGGCGTACCTCCAGGGGCCCGGACCCGTTGCACGTGGCTCCCGTCCTCGCACGTCCCTTGATGTGCCTTTCATTCTCCGCACGCCGACGCTGTGCACGAACCACATCAAACTAGCGTCCTTGCTCCTAGTAGCGATGCCAGGAGCCCCTAGTAGCGTCCTTGCTCTTCATGCACACAGCGTCGACGAGCAATTTGCCAACCACTTTGTTGGACGTCCATTCATGTGCGTTCATGTGGCGAGAACTCGAGGTGCTTTTGATGCATGCTCAATGCATACCTTTGGTTGTTTCCCGACGGCTTTGGATGCGGGTCGTGTGGCCCACAGGCACCCTCAGGTTGGCATGGGGCATCTTCGCTCGCGACGGTGGCGCACATGCTAAACAGAAGCGCTGGTTGCAGTTGCTACAGTTGCCACTTGCAAATTTTCCGCTTGTGCCACTCCATCCGCCGAACCACCTGCAACCCAAGAGTGCAGCGCACTTGCACTACCACGCCGAGCGGCCCAGCCTTCAACATGCCTTTTGAGACATTGCTGGTTTGCTAGCCGCGTGCGGCTTTAACCACACTTGGCAACACAACGAGGCTGGCAATGACAAACTTCACGCTCTTCGATCTTTTTAAGTAAGCGTTCAACAACAAAAATGACTAACACATGTGGAGCTCAATGTTTCCACAGTATTTATTTAAATTTGGAAAACATCAGCGTGCGGTGGTTTGTGATGCTCCAGTCATTGCAAGCCAAGTTCACTGAATATGAGAAAACCACCCTCGGTTAGAACCATGGTTTGTAACATGTGAGAGATAGCATTGGCTACCAGCTTTTCCCCTTGCTTGGTAGCATTGGAAATTGATGCTGTGTGTAAGCATTGCATTGCAGTTTGCAATGGCATTCTGGAATAGCAGTGGCAACAATGCCATACCGTTACACGTAACCTTGAGTGAAAGCACTGCTGTATAGACATCAGAGACAGAAGTCAAACACAAACTTCGTTTGGCTCAAGTGTGAGAGGAAACTTGTGCGGCAGCTTGGGTTCGATCGCTCGTTGCATCGTATCGTGACTTTTGCTGTACATTGCTCACATTTGGAAGCATATATACGCAGATCTAAGAATCTACT